ATGTTCTTAAATAGCTTCTTCATATTAAGACTTTCATATGGATAACATGCATAGAGCCAAACCAGTTCAGAAATATCTAAACTTTCAGCTGTATTCAACCATTTTGTAAAATTAATGGTTAAAAAAGGCTTTGTGGAAGTCAAGCCCAAGGGTTTTGGTAAAGACCATCCTTTTCGAATATTGTGGACTGGCAATACAGACGAGGCATGGTGGAGTAATGGATAGCAGCTCAGATTGAGGAATCGGAGAGCCAAGTTCAAATTTCAGTCAAATCCATTACATTCACTTACATGCTAATACCTTTGGGAAAGGTATGAATCCTCTTCTTCTCCTCATAGCTATGGGTAAATAGCAGGACAGACTATGTTCTACAGTCTTGGATGGCAACTGGTCTGTCACAGAAAGAAATGGCAACCTACTGCCGGAAAAAAATCTGCCTCGTCAGTCATGTATTGAAAAATACATGATCACCTAAGCGTGTATCACACATGGGACATAACTGAATACAGGTTCACAAACAAGAAATTGTACCAAATAATAAAAACCACATCACTAGAGGACTACAAAGAGCAGCAACAACTAAAATGGATATCACATGTAACTTAAAATGAAAATGATGATATAATTACAATGCTGACATTCCATACTACTTTAAACAAAAGGTTAGGAAGGAAACCCCTATCAATACTGGAAAGAGGTTATAGCTCTTTCCAGTATTGATGGGGGTTTCCTTCCTAGCCAGCTACTGGACTTGAGAAACCTAATTTGCTGAAAAATTGTTTTAAGAGGAAGATTTTATAAATTTCAACCAAAAACAGTACTGGGTGTTCCTTCAATGGATGCTAAATGTTTCCTTATAGGGAAATGGCTAATATTACCATTACTATGGATGTTCTATTTTCTTTTTTCACTTCAATCAAGTTTGAATGCTTTACTCAAGGCCAATGATTCATAGAAAAAGTCATGACACAAATGCTTAGCTAGAACTCAAACACTGACACAGACTGCAAATTACAATAGCATCTGTTATTCAGGATTTGTAACAGTTCCTTATTTTTTATTTTATCTATAGTATGGCATTTTTTATTCATTTATTATATCAATTCTTTATTAATATTATTATTTTATTATATTAATGTTTTAATATGTATTATATTTTATTACTATTGGCCTTGGGATAGTTATAAATCTGTCTTTTCTCTCCACAGCTATAGGTTAAATATCAGTAGACTGGGTCCTCTAGCTTAGGATGGCAGTCAGTCTAACAGGATAATTCCAAATTTAAAACTATTCAGAAGGCAACAGGAAACATCCCCATTATCTTTCCCATTAAGAAATGGCAAATCACAGATAAAAAAAATAAAAGGAATCTGTGGAGGGCCATCACCACCTATGTCCTGAAGGGACATGGCATTTAAAAAAAATTATAGTTTATCTTATATTACTATTGTTTTATTACTAGAAATACCTGTGAAAATTTTGCAGTTTTTATTCTTAAGTTAATGATTGATTAAGCACATACTGAGTTCTATGACAATAAAATATCCATAGAAATTCCCCTATGACATCATTAAATATTTGAACTTAACAACTTTAACAAAATATTTCTTTCTTTCTTTCTCTAAAACCAAATAGCATCTCTGATATGTCTTTTTGGTCTTTCCACTCGATCAAAATAGAATAGTACATTATGAGATATTTGCAAGGAATAATGGTCATGCTAAATAAGAGAGGGACGAGCACAATTATAATCAAATATTTTACAGTCTATTATCTTAGATTCACGTTATTATTTTATTATTATGAGAGGGTACTGAAAAGTTTTCAGCCTAACAAATGATTTCCAAAATATTTCTGATGTTTGGTCATTTAGTCAGATTTTGATAAAAGGCTCAAGAACTTTTCAACACACCTCATATATTGTTAATATTTTATTATTTAATTGTATTTTATATTATTTTATTACATTAATATCAATATAAGAATTAATTTTACAATATTACTTGTAGCAATTTTCTAAGCATAGCTTAGATGTGGCACAAGGCTGAAAGTATGGGGCACCCAGTGAGGATCAAACTCACTACTCAGTCATAGTTGTTCTAGCGAGACAAGCTTGCTAACCATTACACCACCTCGGGGTGCCCAACAATATTACTTGTATAATAATTTACATTCAGATTATTGTCCTAATCTTTGGTTTTGTTATCACAACGTATTAGTCATTGTGCTCTCTGACTTTCATTGGGTCAGTAAATTACCCAGATCAATATATACCTGATGAAGGCCAAAGGACAGAATGGGCAAAATTTTGTTTGTCTTGTCCTGGGTATGATGATAAACTACATCTGGCAGCAAGACCTCTGATCAAGAAATTTTATGAAGTTTGGAACCACATCTTAATTACTGTTGTTCCCAAGTCCACCTTGACCCAGGGTGGTTGAACCTGTTAGGATACAAGCTATAAGCAAATAGTGACTCCCCCCACCACCACCACCAAATTGAGGTCAAAGCACAAAAATATAAAAATACATTAGAAAAAATTACCGGCAATACATTTTTTAAATAAAAAGTACCAAAACTCCCAAAAAAATAAAACTTTGCCATTAAATGACCCATGAGATGTTAATATGCCATTAAACAAACCGAAATTTTGTGGCAGTCCAAATGTAAATAGTCTAAATAATAACTCCTCATCCCAGAAATTGAAACAGATGTGTTGTTTTATTTTATATTTCAATTAATTCCATTTTACTTTTGATTTTTATATTTATTTACTATATTAATATCTACATTATTAATTTTTATATTTTTATACTAATATTTACAACATTTATATTCAGACTAATGTTTTAAATGACGAGACAAAGATGAGGATAATAGTCCAAATATAAACAGTGTCTTACACCAGAAATTCAGACAGAAATTTTATATCAGTGTATTTCATTTTATTTTTTAATTATTTTGTTATATTAATATATTATATTTTATTTTTTATATTATTATTATAGCTTTATTTTGTCATATTGCATGTCTTATTTTTTTCAAGTTATGTTTAATTTTTATTTGTTATATTATTTTTTGTATTAATAGTTTTTATATTAATTTTTCATAAATTTTATAATGTATTTCATTCGTAATTTTTATTTTTATATTAATATAATAAAATAATATATAAAATAAAAAGTAAAAGTAAAAAGAAAACCTTACTGAATCTTCTTGTATGTATTGTGTCCCTTTAGGATGTGGATGATCATGGCTCTCCACAATGTCCTCTAGCTCTTAGCAATGTTCGTTTTTTTTACTATCCCTCCTACACCTTGTTCTGCAATCCATTTACAAAAGTTTGTTAGATTACAATTTCCTTTAATTCCTCTTGCTTTCGATATGCCTTATGAGTGTCAAATTCTCCAAGACCTCTTTCCTCATTAAGTGAAAATTTCAAATAAATATTCACCTAAAATCTATGTCTAAGACTACAAATTTATTGAGCCACCCTTGTAGAGAGTGTAAGCATTTAATATAATGTTGCATGAATATACCAATATAAGATGTTACTTTGGTCTATAGTATGATGATAGACTACATGCGGCAGCAAGGCCTCTGATTGGGAGATTGGCAGTTTTAAGAAGTGTGGAACCACCTTTTAATTGATGTTGTTCTCAGGTCCACCCTGACCCGGGATGTTAGCACTTGTTGGGGTCCCAGCTATGGACAAATAGTGAACCAACAAACAAAAACAAAACACTATGAAAGTATAAAAATACATTTTTATAATACAAATACCAGTGAAACACCTTTCTATATTAAAGCAAAATGACCAACAGTACATTTTATGGTAGAATTACCAACAATACATTTTATTGCAAAATGACCAACAGTACATTTTATGGTAGAATTACCAACAATACATTTTATTGCAAAATTTTATGGTAGAATTACCAACAATACATTTTATTGCAAAATGACCAACAGTACATTTTATGGTAGAATTACCAACAATACATTTTATTGCAAAATGACCACCAGTACATTTTATGGTAGAATTACCAACAATACATTTTATTGCAAAATTTTAGGGTAGAATTACCAACAATACTTTTTATAGCAAAATGACCAACAATACATTTTATGGTAGAATTACCAACAATACATTTTATTGCAAAATGACCAACAGTACATTTTATGGTAGAATTACCAACAATACATTTTATTGCAAAATGACCAACAGTACATTTTATGGTAGAATTACCAACAATACATTTTATTGCAAAACGACCAACAGTACATTTTATGGTAGAATTACCAACAATACATTTTATTGCAAAATGACCAACAGTACATTTTATGGTAGAATTACCAGCAATACATTTTATTGCAAAATGACCAACAATACATTTTATCTGTAGTTGGAGGCATACAATTGCATTCAAAATATATTTAGTTGAAACCTTAAAATTGTCTTCAAAATATTTAGATTCCGGCATTAAACTCATAGAGGTTGATATGCCACTAAACACAATCAAATCACCAACATAAAAGAACTCTTTCATAACATTAATCCATATAACATCCTACAATCTCTAAAAGAAATCAAACTGCATTCGAAAATATAACTTTAACAAAAGTACAACATAAAACATACACATAACCACCTCTAGTAATCACATCCACATAAACATGTATATGCGCAAAAGATGAGTATCTGTGAAAGCAGAATGACATATATCATATTTTTATTACATCAAAGCTCCCAAGAAAATTAAATTTCAGCTCTAGTAATCACATCCACACAAACATGTATATGCACAAAAGCTGAGTATCATCTACCACGTATTCAACTGTGAAAGCAGAATGACATATATCATATTTTTATTACATCAAAGCTCCCAAGAAAATTAAATTTCAGCATTAAATGACCCATAATGAGTTAATATGCTGTTAAACAAACAAAACAAGAAGTCACTTAATTGAACTAAATATTTTTTTTCTTTCTTTTTCAGATCAATTGTTTACTCGCATGCAGGTGTGAACAATGTCATGGTGATTGGTTGTCAGATGTGTTTATTCTGCATATTTCTAATTGGAATGGATGGACAATATATATCAAAAGAAATATACCCAGTGGTGTGCCAGGTAAATACATTTATTGTATTACAAAAATCTATATCTTTGATATTATGTCTACACTTTTTATTACGGTGTATCAAAACTATTTTCCTTTTTTTTTTTATTGATCTGTATGCCAAAGTTTATTTCATGTAACCATCTAAAATCACCCCTATATATTATAATTGATTAATCTTTCCCTTGAAGAACAGACTTATATCTGTGAAACTCAGAGTTGGGTAAGAAGTCGTTGAATTTTTTTAGTTGCTATATATGGGGATAACAATATATAAATTTTTATATATCAAGAACAATTTCAGGAGTTTCTTCACATGTTGATTTGGGAACATTTTTACGTACATACCATTTGTTTTATATAAATACACATTAGATTATTTAAGAATGGATTCAATAAAAGTTTGTTATGTGATATAAAATTTTTGATGTGTGTTTATAATTGGACATATTGTTATTAGTAGGCACTTGGTGTACTTTCTTCATAAAGAATCATGTTCTTTTTTAATTAGGGTAACATTAGTAAAATCAAAGTTATGGCCAGTTTTGTTCCTGTGTATTACAAGAGAGTTTGAAGTTTTATCTAAACACAAATCTCTTTGGTGTTCATAGATACAGGCTTTTAGATCATGTGATATCTCACAGATATAAATTTTTTTACATTGTAAACAATTTATTCAATAAGTACCAGCATTTGAATTGGTGTTCAATTTATTTTTCTTCCTAATTATATCACCAGTTGTCTTGGATGTGATGGTAAAGATCCTAGTATTAGGGATAACTAATTTATTTTAAAGTTTATTAGAAAAATTGTTAGAGGTAGGATTATGAATTTTGTGTTGTTGATGTTAGAAGTGCTATTGGTGGTGTCTAGTTTTGGGGATTTGTGGATTTTGTAAGCTCATTTTCTATCATTGAGGATGAAATGATGTGGGTACTGAAGAAGTCTAAATGTTTTCTCAATATATTTCTCATCTTCAATTAGGTATTTTGCACTGCATATCCTAAGGACTCTGAAGTAGAATCCTACAATTAATCCTGATTTTATTTTTTGATTGTGGCAGGAACAGAAATTAATTAGATTGTTTTTGTTAGTGGGTTTATGATAAACTTTAAAGTCTAATTTTTTTATTGTTACATATTAATAAGATGTCAAGGAAAGGTAGAGATTTCTTTATTTCAATTTCATGTATGAATTCAATGGTAGAACCAACCTTAAGTTTTATTATTATGTCTAATAGATTTATATTATAAGGATATACTAAAAGAAACTAATCTTGTGAGTGTATTAAATTAAAATGAATGTACATACCAGTCATTTGATTAGTATGTACAGTGCTGTTCGATAAAAGTGACTCACCTGATTTTTTTTACTAAATGTTCTCTTCTCCGATGAAACAAAAGTTGAGCTAAATTCAAAGGATAAGCGATCTAAAATCTGAAGAAGAAGCTTTGAAAGCTCTTTGAATTTAACAGTAAGTACTGTAAAGCATCCGTTCAGTATAATGTTCTGGGGATGCTTTTCTTTTCATGGAACTGGTTTCTTAAAACCTATTGAAAAGACCCTCAGGATTGAGCAGTACAAGAGAATTTTAGAGTCTTGTCTACTCCCTTCTGCTGAAAGGGTGCAAATCGACCCCACCAAGATCATTTTTTATGCAGGATAATGCTCCCTGTCACAAATCAAAATTGATGAAGGAATACTTTGATGAGAAGCAGGTGAGTTTTCTGACATGGCCGCCCCAATCTCCTGACCACAACCCCATAGAAATCTTATGGAGCATTATAAAGTACAGGCTCTAGAGAAAGCAGTTGAGCAACAAAGAGGATTTGATTGTGAATTTCATATCCGAATGAATTCAATGCTTGGAGATGAGATTTGCCAGAACCTAATCAAGTCAATGCCAAAAAGGGTTGAAAAGGTTATTCAAAATAAATGAGGACCCATAGATTATTAAATATTTCGAACTATATTACCTATTATAAATAAATTATACCTCTATTATTCTTTATTTAAAGCTGTTTGGTTATGTTTCTATTGATTACTAGTTGCAGGAAATAAATGAGTCACTTTTTTTGCATAGAGATTTTCCCTAAATCTCATTTATATCCAAAATTATAATTATCAATAGAATACCTTAGGGTGAGTAAACCTTTTTACTAGGTGGTCGGGAAGAGGTCTTTATATTAGTAAGATTAAAAATTAGTTTGACCCAAAAACAACAGGTGAAAAAAATGTTTAAGTAAAAAAAATCAGGTGAGTCACTTTTATCAAACAACACTGTACATTCATTTTAATTTCATCTGGAATTAAAAATGATGCTGCATTACATATTTTTTATAAAGAATTTTAGGAGGCACAGTGGAGTAATTTTATATTTACAAAATTCTAAAAATTAATACAAGATAGCAGCTCAGACTGAGGAATTGGAGACCTGAGTTCAAATTCTAAAAAAAAAGCTAATAAATAGCAGGACAGACTCAGTCCTATAGCCTTGGGTGACAACTGGTAGAAAAAAACCTCCAACTATTTTATAACCCACAAATTACCAAGTAAAAACATCCTTGAAGATAGTCAATCAAAGAGGTGTTCCTCCAACATAAATGAGAAGGCTCTTGATTTGGATCCAGGGTACTTTTGGCAGCCCTGGGATGAATAGGTAGCTAGATTTGCTTTTATAGATTCAAGTAAAATTCATTCAAACTACATTGAATTTATTTCTTTTAAAGTTTTTCCTGTCTTTTTTTTTTTCATTTAATACATTTTATAATTTCAACTTTGAAAACCTTAAAATCACATCAGAAAAGTGTTGTAACCTTTAAATATGAATAAAAGGTTGGTAATGAACAAAATGACAAGAACAACATATAAGATACCATTTTAGTCAACTGGTAAATTACCAACAATATGTGGTTGTGGCAAGAAATAATTAAAGTAGACCCCAATTAAAAATGTCTGCCTTTGACCATTACAGTATTTACTACATATTTATGAATGGGGACATACCCATTATCATCTGTAGGATGCTACAACAAAAAATAAAATAAAATCTTTTGTTCTCTCATACTAAAAGTTCATGTTTTTAGCATTTACCATTTAGGAGTTATGATTTGTCAAAATCTAGAAAAACTCAATAAAATTTGATGTCAATGCATGGAAGTTCTGAAAAGAAATTTTACTGTTGTCACATGTTCATTAAAGAAATAATTAAAGTGTCTATTGAGGTGTCAAATTGGCTTGTCAATCTGATGTCATTAAGTTCACATATTGGACCCACAGACCCACTGATGTCTTTAGGCATTGTAATAATAGAGAAAGTGGCGACACTCATTAAAAATAATCTCTGTCTGACTTTTCTCTTAAACTGGTAACAAAAAAATGTATGCTGTTTATTAACCTGGGAGAGGTTTTTTTCATTTTTATTGCATTTTTCAACTGTAAATGATTTTGTTTCAACAGTAAATGAGAGTCTATTTAATATTTTCCTACACGATGCCCAGCTCATTTACAAACACAGATGTGAAATGATAGGCACTGATCATTTAAGCATTCCATACCACATCAAAAAAGAATCTACCAATAAAAGGCAACAATCCTGCTTTTCCTCCCAAGAGACATGTACTAATGATGATGGGTTCCTCTGTTGATGACATAGGTATTCATAGCTGGGATAAGAATGATCTTGAACTGAAAAACAATATCTGCCAAGTGTTCCTAGAAATAGAATTCAAGATAAACCTTTCTAAAGCAGAAACGATAATCTGAAATTGGAATGAAAGCAGTGATGGCACCTACTCTGAATCCATCATAAAAATTCAGGATGTGAAATTAGTAAATACCTTCAATACCTCAGTGTATGGATCAGTTATAACAAATTTAGTATTAGAGATAAGGATATGACTACAAAACAAAACATTAACCTGAAAACTCAAGTCCTGTTCTTAAATAGCTTCATCAGATCAAGACTTTCATATAAATGTCATGCTTAGTGCCAAACCTGTTCAGAAATATCTAAACTGTTAGCTGTATACAACTACTTCCTAAGATCAATGGTTAAAAATGCCTTTGAGCAAGTGAAGCATGTGGGTTTTTGGAAAATGTATACTGTTTATTGGCCTGGGTAAGTACTCATTTTTAATGCCTTTTTCAACAGTAAATACCAGGGTAAGTCAAAAAGTAATGCAATTTGTTTTGTTATATAAGAAATAAGGAATAAAATCAAATATATTGCACATCAAGATATGGCTTCTCTAGTTCAACTGTTGATGAATTAACAATTAGTGCTGAAAGAGTCTATCAAGCTTTAAATATAAATGAAGTTTTAGGTTGATACTTTAGGCATCACAAAGGCATTTGACATGCTTTGGCATACTGATCTTATTCACAAGTTAAAAGGTTATGGTATTTATGGATGAATTTTTGATTTTTCTTATCAAATCACGAAATGAATGTTGTTTTGAATGGCCACTCTTCTAGATCTTTTTGCATTAATGCAGGTGACCCCAAGGGCTTTATCCTTAGACCTAAATTGTTCCTAATTTTCATAAATGACCTTCCTGATATCATCAGTTCTCAACTCAGTACCTGTGCTGATGACACAGCAATTTACTCCTGTCTTTGATTAAAACTCTGATCGTGTCAGTAAGGTCAAATTGGCAGAAATCACCAAGAACTTTACTAAATAACTGAAACTACATCACTCAAGGACTATCAACAGCAGCAACAACTAAAATGGATAGCACATGTAACTCAGAGAAAATAATGACATAATTAAGATTTTAACATTCCATGCCACTTCAAATAGAATTTTCAGAAAGAAACCCCATCAGTAGTCGAAAGGTTGATAACAGCTACTGGGTTTGAGACACCTGTTTTCCTAAAAAAAAGTGTGGCAAACATGAATAAATGTGACTGCAAT